TGCACTCCTCTGTCTCCAAATCCTCCTATAACAAGAACACCATCAGCTCCCTGAAGCCAAATATTAGTCAAGTTAAAAAAGTAGAAAGTAGTGGCAACTAAAGAGAGGAGTTTTCTAACTAAAATAAAAAGTAGCTCATTTCAAAATTCTAAAACAAACCTTCAAGAACTTCCACGCGGCCTTGAAATAGTCAAGATTCTGCAACATTAAACAGAACAATAGCCATTGTCAAAATTAAAGTAAATAAACAACAAATGTTTAGGCAAAAGAAATCAAAATATGAAGGAATAATCAACCAAAAGATTTGGCTATTTTCTCTCTTAATAGGCAAGTTATGACATCACAAGTTATACAAAACCTCTTATTACTACTTCCACGCAATACCAAAAGAAGCAAAGAGAAATGTTTCTTGGGTGTTTAATGAAGAGGTAAACAAATCAGGTACTGAATTTCTTTTATTAGTACTTCTACGCAATATCATTATCGAAATAATTTCATTCCAAGTATCTGAGGTTAAAAGGGATTGAGGTTTCTCAGGCATATGAAACCTCTTATTCCTCAATAGGCAAGTATTAAAGAACATTAAAAGTGAGTGGAAAGATTTGGCTCCAAAGCCTCTGAAAATTGTGCAAAACCAAACCAGCACTTGTGTACGTAACTATCCATTTGCATCCACTGCAAAAATAGAACTTCCCACAATGGTCCCATGATTTTTAATAAGAACAATTCATATAGTAAGGCAAAATATATATTTTTATCTTTTCCATCTCACGACTATGAATAATAACTTAACCATATGAGATCTCACTTTTCTTAAGCAAAATGGCACAAAAAAGAAAGAGATAAAACTCACTAAATTTACAGCTTGCTTTTGCTCAAGATGAAAAAGTGACACCAGCTTCTGACTCTGAATGCACCATTACGCAGAAAATTTTATCCAACTAAAATTTATAACAGCATTTATCATGTCCCTGTTGGCCACAAAACAATAAATATTCTAGGAATTAGCCAACATAACATAATCATAGCTTCTGTTAGGATTAGATACACGTATTCACGTTTCTTCAGAGCCCATTTGAAAAAAAAAAAAAACTCACATCCAGACCATAATTAACCATGGAAAAGGAATAATTGGAAACACACACAAGAAACTCACATCCAATGTTTTGTCTTTGAACTTGTACGTATCAATCTGAAATAAATAGAATATATATTTTAGTTTCTTATATATGGAGAAGGGATAAACAAAAGGCATCATAGATTCATTGAAATATGGCAATATGGTCCTGCAATATTTCACAAATAATCCATAATTTATAGTAAATAGAAAATAAGTTCACTGCCAAAATTCAGCTACCACAAGTCCACAAATCAAAAATTACTATGGTCTTGCTATCCAAAAATTGATGAAAAAATCCAAAAAATACAAAGAAAAGTACCTGTGAAGAGCAAAGCAGAAATTAGTCGAAGTCTCAAAGTCTAAAAGGAGTGAGCATCAAAGATCTAAATCTAATTCATAGTTCAGATAGCGAGGGAGCAAGAGGTAGGGGCGACAGAGGTAGTTGAACCGGGGGGATGGGATGGGTCTCGAGTACTAGATGAGAGGCACTCTCGTTATTCGCACTCACAAACGCATGAATGCGAGGCAAGATTCAAGATGAGAATAGGAGACAAAGCTCAACAGACTGTTGGATAGGGAGGCGCAATGGAAGATTAAAATTTTAAATTCTTATCCTGATATTAACTGAATGAACTCATTTAAGTTAAGGTGAATAGAACAAGTACCTTTTTAAGTGTGAGCTCTTCACGTGTTGTCTTAAAGAAATTTGATTTCAGGAGCAGACAACGTAAATATTCTCCTTCTACTAGTATCCACACAAACAGCTTTCAACTCAAACGGCATGCTAGCACTCGAACGACACTTTTCTTTAGGGTGTTTTTGTGGCTCTCACTCTATTTTGCCGTCAGGACTTTTCTGACTCACACACATACATGAAGCACGTCCCTATCTATATAATATATAGATTAGGTTTTTCACCTTTCACTTGAAGAGCCCACAAAAATCTAATTAAATTTATCTCATAAATTTAATCTATAATATTATATCTAATTCAAATTTATCTCAAAAATTCAAATTATATAACTGACATGATATTCTGTCATATCATGTTAGTTATTTTAATTTAATCTATCAAATAAAATTAAATTTAAAACTAATATAACATAACATAACATAACATATACATATTATATATACACACTTATATTTCAAAAATATATGTATAATATATATATATATATTTAATTTCATATATCACACACACACACACACACACAACACACACACATATATATAAACATGAATGTATATATATTTCAAATATATATACATATATAAAATTATATTTTGAATTTTATATTTCATATAAATATATATATAAATATTTATTAAATAAATATTCAAATATATATATATATATATAAAATTCATTCACCCTAGAAAAGCATTACATTCATTGAATGTAGACATATTCTAGATTCAATAAACTTGGACATTATAGCTCGAGTTGGGCTATTCTTGTGTGCGACCTTGTAAACCCACATGAAGTTGGCAGTATGCTAATTATGCTACTAGCCCACAAGTCACAAGTGGCCTCTAGTAAGACATTGCAACTACCTAATTCATATGAGGATTGATGATTCGATGTAACCTACCATATAACTGTATCAAATTACTTTTGTCACGTGATATTTTGATTAAGTGTGAAACATGAAATTGTCATTCTTTTTTACATAACCATTATTTTTTCGATCTCTGAGTGGACTGATTATAATAATGGAAATTGTCCCTCATGTTAAATGTATAGCCATCTTGACTAGTCATATTCTTCTACATGAATATCTATCACAAGTCCTACATTGGAGAGCCTCACAAGTGGTGTGGAGTTTATAAGTTCAAGAGGCTCTCCCTCTTAATAGGCTAGTCTTTTGGGATGGGCTCTCCCTTTAGACTTGTGCTCGTCATATTAGTGCTTTCATTAAGAGGTTGGTGTCACGGAAAAGGTTACCCACGGAGGGTTTTGATTGGTAGAAGGCCAAGTGAAGTGCCGTGGAGTGAAACCGTCAAGAATGTCAACTCTTGATAGGGTGGCATTGTCATGAGTTTCACATTGGGGAGCTTTACAAGTGGTGTGGGATTTACAAGTGATATAAATCTAATGTTTGCTTTTTTATCTGCTTTAGGATGTTACTGACGGCTTTAGATAAGCATCTTATGATTGCTTCTTTGCTGGCGTAGGGATCAATGTATTTATCCCACCATTTTAATATTTATAAAATATTATTGATTAATTATTATTTTTTTTGTAATATACGATTTATAAATTATGTATAATTATTAAACTATATTTAATATTTGATATTGTATTTTTATGTTAAATAATTAATAAATTATTATTAACTTTTTTTATATATTTTTATTAAATTATGTATAATTATTAATTTATATTTTATATATATTTATTTAAGAGAGGTGCATTTGGTGGTTGAAAAAAACATCACCTCTCTTGGCTCTTTGGTCCCTAAATGAATAAAGTATAGGGACATTGGAGAGACTTAAAACACTGAAAAATGAAAGTGTTGGGATCCAAAACATAAAAAAAAAAGTGCAACGACTTATAGCAAAACACGAGCAAAGTGCAGGGACCAAAAGTTATATTTTGCCAAAAAATTAAATGTAAGAGATGGCATTTCCAGACTGAAAAAACACCACCCTTTTTGACATTAATATTATTTAAAAAATAAATAATAAAGATCCAAGTAGGGAGAGAGATCACGTTTTAATTGTATGGAGACGCCACCTCCCTTATTAAAAAAAAAAACCCAAAGAGGTGGCATTTTTCAAAACAAACACCTTCACTTTAACATCAGTCTCACGGTGTTTCATTAATTAATGAAACACCACCTGAGACCTATTATAGTATTGAACCTTATCCACAAAACTAAAATTTTAAATACTTCCAAATCCCATTTCTATAGTAGGATAGTGACAAGTGGTTGGGAATATGGACCTCAGCCCTTATATACGTAGTATTTTAGTTGAGAGAAGTCTATACATTGCTCTCAATACCTCATTGGAGACATTCTTTATTGTTGACAGAGCCTACTCCTTACATTTATAATTTAAATAAAAAAGCGAGTTCAATCTTAGCATCTACCTCATCCAGCTCAATTCAAATTATTTGATTATTGTACGAACTTATTACACAGTTGTATATATACATAAATTCTCCATTAGATGCGAATTTATTATGAACTTTTCTCAGGTTTTGTTTTCTGTTTTTGGGTAACACTAAGAACCATTCTTGTCTATATTAATGTTACATAATTACTCTACTTCTATCAAACTGTTGTTGTTTCTTACACCAATGAAACAATTGTTTCTTGAGCGTACATTGCATGAGGAAATTAAAAATGAATATCATGTACGATATAAAACCATTGTTTCTAGGGCATTGCAGGAGGAAATTAATTTTTTTTTATTTTTTCAAGAGAGAAAGACATAAGTTGAACGAATATATTGTGTCCAATAATTTAAATAAAATATATTTATAATTCAATATATAGTGTATGAACAGCTAGTGATAAGTGATTTAATTTATATTAATGTCGCAACATGAATATTAATTTTTATTTAGATAAAGTTTTGATCCAAAATGATTTGTCTTTCAAAATATAAATGACTAGGTGTTTAACTTCTGCAAACCATAAAATTAGAGTTCAGCGTGTTGGATATAAATAGATTTTCCTTTTAAAGAAACATTTTAAAATAGGAACCATAAGTGATAACAAAATAGAAACTCAACAAATCTAAGCTTCCGCTAATCCAACCCAAACGGATGGCTCTCAAATATTTTGCCATTATAAGAAGGCATTGTTCAAGTTTCCATAATCTATATACACACTCATGTAAGTGACACATAATAACAGAAAAAGAAAAAGTCTTGTTCCACGCACGAGAAAAAATGAGAATCATCACATGTGCCTTGTTCTTATTTCTGATTTCCACCGTCGTCACAGCTCAGAAAAAAGTGTTGGACATAGCAACTTACGGAGGAAAACCTAACGGAGATATAACTCAGGTATCTCTAAGAATTTCTGCTTCAGTGGTTCTACACATGAGTCCTGATTTTTGTTACAATCTCTAATAGTTAACAACTTGTCTTATCAATAATATTAAAGGCTTTGACCAAAGTATGGGGAGAAGCATGTACAGGCACTGACCCAGTAAGAATCTACATAAAAAATGCAAAGTACAGGATGGGTGACGTGCAACTTAAAGGTCCATGCAAGGCTCCAACGATTGAAATATATAATGAAGGAACAATTGAAGCACCAGGAGACATGACTCTATTGCATGGGGCTCCACAGTGGTTCAGAGTTGAAAATGTGGATAACTTCACCTTATCAGGCAGAGGAACGTTTGATGGCCTTGGTCCTTCTTCCTGGCATCATAATAATTGTGCCAAAAATGTACACACCTGCAAAATGCTTACCATGGTATGTAGAATTAGTGGAAATTTCCAGATGCAAGATCTCGTGCTTTACATGGAGTCTAATGTTATCAATATTAACAATAGGTCTATTTCAAATCTGACTAGCTATACTCAATACCTGCATGCATTAACATATATTTTCTGTGAAATGATGAGCTGCAGAATTTTGGGTTCAGTTTCCTCAACAATTCCGTTATTAGGGATGTGACGTCCAAAGACAGCAAAAACTTTCATGTTAACGTTTCGGGATGCAACAGCATTGAATTTAATAACTTCAAAATCGATGCGCCAGAAGACAGTCCCAACACCGACGGAATCCACATCGGAAGATCGGTTGATGTGAAAATCCTACACACTAAAATTGGTACTGGAGATGATTGTATCTCGTTAGGTGATGGCAGTGTAAATGTAACCGTGGAGGATGTCACATGTGGACCTGGCCATGGTATTAGTGTTGGAAGCGTGGGAAAATTTACATATGAAACTCCGATTGATAAATTCACAGTCAAGAACTGCACAATCTCCAACACAATGAATGGTGTCAGGATCAAGACATGGCCTGCTGCCCCAGGAACTATTACAATCACCAATATGCACTTTGAGGATATTATAATGAATAATGTCTCCAACCCTGTCATCATAGACCAAGAGTATTGCCCATGGAATCAATGCAACAAAAAGGTACTTATTTCATTAGAAGCTATAATATTCAACTTCATTTCTCTTTATTTTATTTTAGATTTGTCATCCTTCAATGAATTATTTTAATTTCATACTGACGTTTTACTCTACTCTTTCAATGGCTTAGATCCCATCCAAGATAAAGATAAGTAATGTTACATTCAAGAACATCAGGGGCACTTCTGGAACAAAAGAAGGAGTGACACTAATATGTAGTTCTGGTGTACCCTGTGAGAACGTGGAACTAAGTGACGTCAAACTCACATTCAACGGAAGTGAAGTAGTGGCCAAATGTTCTAATGCCAAACCCAAAGTCACAGGAGTAGCACCTGCTTGTGAAGCAGGAGCAGCTGCTGCTGCTTAATTAAGTGTCCAATACTATAAAATAGAGGCTTTTCTTTCTTCTTTTCTTTTCGTTTCTTTTGTTTACACTACTATAAGGTTACAACACTCATCCCCATATATAATAAGGGAGGATGGTTTTAGGGTAGGCTGGGTGATCAACGGAAAGGTTTAGCAAACGATTATTTTAAAAATATATAATAAATACTTCTCCCCATGTCCCTCTATCTGTATCTATTGCCATTAGTTGTCTCATGAACTACTCCATTATACATCTCCCTCAGTTTATAACTACCAGCTTTTAGTTCGTCTAATGTTTTGATAGAAAATGGAATGGGGATAGAAATAAGAAAAAGAGCGGCAGACCTATAACTTTTTCGTTGTGGGGGAACACACACACACCCCATTAAATAATATAACATACTCCTTCTGTTAAAAAATTTAAGACATTTTTTGAAGAATTAGATGTTAAAAAATATAAAGTATTTTTAGTGCTTCAAGGTATAATTATTACCTTTTTTTCAAAAGTATTCATAATGAATAAATCATTTTATATTTATTATATTTATGATAAGAAAAGCTTTCAACTATTGCAATTACAATTTGTAATATCCCCACTTCATTTGTATGGTAACTTGTTAGGAAGTAAACCGTATCATGCTGTACGCTATGTGTGTATAGTTATTTATCCACGTGTTCTGTTGTTAAGTTACATTTGTTAGTGTAAGTAATAGATGGTCAAGTTGATTTAATGGCATTGAATCTTCTCCTTCTACCATATGAAGAGTGGATTGTGGCCGATCAATCAGTGTTTGGTTGGTTCTTGTCAAGCATGACCCACTATTACAAAAAAGACTTACAAGAGCGCTCATACAGGAGCTTATATATAAAAAACGCTCCAAAAATGAGACGATTCATATCAGATTACTGGCTACAAGCGCTTTTGTAAGCCAAAAATAAGCGCTCTCATAAAAGTTATTTTGTAATAGTAACTTCAGAGATTGAATGTCAGCTTGTTTGCTGTCACACATCTCATGCGCTTTGAAAGGCGACCACAGATACCTCATTGGTGCAGATACAAGATCGAAAATCCTGCTGCATAAAGAATAGCTACATCCTATCCAAAAGAACATGAAACTGGACTCGTACTTAGCTCATGTTAAGCATCTTGTTGATCAGCTCAGTCTAACTGGTGCATCAATTCCTGACGATGAGTTTATTACCATACTTTCTATAAAACCACATCCCTCAAACCTCAAAGATTGATATACAAAGTTTATCATCCTTTGTATAAATTTCATGCCAAGTTTCCCTTATAAATGGAACCTCTCGAAGTTTTACAACAACAAAATCAGCACTTTTCAATTAAAATAGAGCTCTGCTCGCTCTAGGAAAACAATTATATAACATTGTTAGAGAAAATGAGAACCTTGTCTACAATTTACGTGGAGCAACTAGGGCCATAAACTATCAACATAATACAAAGTTGAAACTTACATCAAGTTGAGATTTGTCCAAAAATAATTTTTCCACTTCAGTTTAATAATAAAACTCCTAAATGATCAACTCAAGATACAAGCTCAACTATACTATATTGAGGCCAAAAAATAATTTTCAGTGAGAATAACGTTCCAATTTAAAGTTAAAGAAGGCAAGGAAAAGAATATTAATGAGACAATTATAAATTTAACAAAAGTAACCATCTAAAATAACAGGAACTCATCTCTCACCAACCAAACAATATAATTCCATGTAAAAATGTATAAACCATATATAAGTTCAAATAATGATGATAAGGCAATCAAGTTTTACTTTAAGCTACAATATCTGCTTTAAACAATTAGAAGTCACTAGTATAAAATATAGTTCTAACTACAACCTTTTCTCCACAATTATAGGTTTAACTGTCGTTATAATGAATTCAGTGGCAAGACCAGTAATTCCAAGTAAAAATTGTGACCTTATAACGACAAGGCTTTAATAAAACTGTCATTGTTTATGTTTTCAGCTAATTAAAAAGCATTAAATAAAATTTAGAGATACACTAAAAATATTAATTATTTTAATGTTTACAATTAATTAATAAAATCTTGAAATTAATATATATATATATATATATATCGACAGTCATTATCTTACTTGTCGTTAATTGAATGTCCAATTCATATACCATTAATATTAATAACAAAACTAATATTAATATAAATAATGCAAGTAAAAAAAAACTATAATACTAATATTTCTAGAACATGCCCATTCGAGGCCTATCATCAGAAATTTATATGTCTATTTAACGACATCATTCCACAGACCTGTCGTTAATATACCATTAATATATTTAATTTAATATAAATATTAATAGATAATGTAATATTCAAAGTCATAATATGAATATTAATAAATCTTAACATAGAAAATAAATACTGATAATTTTATTATTAATATTATTTAATATTATTGCAAAGAAAATAAAGATTAATAATAAAAAGCTATAGTATTATTAAATTTACCTCTTTTAGCTTTCAGCTTGCGAAAAAGATTAATTAATATATTAAAACACATATTACGATAGGTTTAATAGAAACTTGTTGTTATATGTGCTCTTAATTTTTTTTAGCTGAAGAAAAAAAATTAATTAATATATCTGTTATTTAATTAATGACAGTACATTTAATAACTGTCGTTATTATTCATAATATTATTAATACATATATTATTAATTAATAATATTTTGATTTTAATTATATCATACAACTAAACTATTAATTTGACTTATTAAATGATAATTATGGACATATTTATATCTATAAAACTTTAATATGAATATAAATATTTATAAATAACATTTTTATTTATATCAATATAAATAATATTAATAGTTATATATTATTAGTATTATAAATGATATCATTAGATATATTATATTAATTAATTAAAATTTTATTAATGTAAATTATAGAAGCTATTAATGACAGGTTTATTGAAAGCTATCATTAATATAATTAATAATAATTATATTTAATATAAATAATATTTTTTTAATTTTAGTATATTTATTTAAATTTAATATTAATATTATGTATATTAACGACAGGTATATTGAGACCTATTGTTAATATGTTTGGTTTTCGTTCACTAAATAGTATTTATATCAATATAAATTTAATATTAATATAAATATTTATAAATAAAATGTTTATTTATATTAATATAAATAATATTAATAGTTATATAATATTAGTATTATAAATAGTATCATTAGATGTATTATACTAATTAATTAATATTTTATAATTATAGAAGATATTAACGACAGGTTGATTGAAACCTGTCATTAATATAATTAATAATAACAATATTTAATATAAATAATATTTTTGTTAATGTTATTATATTTATTTAAATTTAATAATAATATTATGTATATTAACGATAGGTATATTGAGACCTGTCGTTAATGCTTTCAATTTTTCTTCACTAAATAATATTTATATTTATAAAAATTTAACATTAATTTAAATATTTATAAATAAAACTTTTATTTATATTAATATAAATAATATTGATAGTTATATATTATTAGTATTATATATAGTATCATTAGATAAATTGTAATAATTAATTAAAATTATACCAATATATATAGTTTAGAAAATATATTAACGACAGGTTTATTGAAAACTGTCGTTAATATAGTCTATATTTCCTTAGTTTAAATATAAATAATATTATTAATAATAACTTTAGATAAATATTATAAGATATAATTTATTTTATATTATTATATGCGATAATATAATTTTAACTATTTATTATTATATAACTGATGATAATATTTATTATATTATTTACACTGTTGGTGAGGTTTTTCAGAAGGCAGCTGATTCAAAATTGTCATGTCAATGCACGAGTTCCAAAATGGTAGCAGAAAATGTGCAAAAAACATGAACAACATATAATGACAGGTTTAATAAAACCTGTCGTTATATGTAAGCTTATAACAATAGGTTTAATGAAACCTGTCGTTATATGTTATGGTTTTTAATCCCTTTTCCTTGTTTTCATAAAACCTTTAGCTTTGTCTCGTGCCCTTCAGCTCGCTCTCACACCTTTTCTGCCTTTCCTTCAACTCATGCCTTCAGCTCGCCTTCGTCTCCCTCTGCCGTCAGCTCTATCATAGCTCCAGCTCCCTCCAGCTGCTTCTTCGCCCTTCGCCTTCAGCTCATTCTCATCTTTCAGCTTCTTTCTCTCCACCCTTAGCTCCTCCTCTCTACCCTTCAGCTTCTCCTATCTGCCTTTAGCTCGCCGGTGACTGTGATTAATCTTTCTTCGGCCTCCAGCCTGGTGCATTAATCCAGGTAAGCTCTTGCATGTTTAGCCATTTATTTCTTTTAATTTTTTTTTCATGTTTTTCTCCCAATACAAGTAGCTAAGTTTTTTTTACTTATATTTTTTATTTCATTAATTATTTATCTTTAATATATTAAAATTTTTAGGAATAATTTTTTACACTCATTATTATGTTCCGCCTTTTCCTTTATATTTTTTTATCAAATTAATTATTTATTTTTAATAGAAATTTGATGTAAAATTTATATGCATAATTTTTAACTTGGTATAAAATTTTTTATTAGATTAAATTTTTTCATATATTTTTTATTAAATTAATTTTTTTATTTTTCATATATATTTTCACATATTTTTAACTTAATATATTTTTTATTTACTTTTATTTTTAATATAAATTTGATATAAAATTTTTAAGCATAATTTATATTTTAATTAGGTAACTATTTGATAGCTTGAATTGATTATGAATTCTATATGTAATTATTGATTATTCATTTAAAATAATTGTTCATATTTTAATTTGATAATTATTTGATAGCTTGAATGAGTGAAAAAGCTTGAATTGATTGTGGATTAGAGTCTATAATTATTGATTATCTATTGACATTTGTTGAAATTGGTCAAATAAGGGTTTTGTGCCTAGGCAATGTCAATTTATAAGCCGTTATGCTGCCGATTTTTTTTTAAATTTCAAAGTATAAAATAGTTTTTCATATTTTAATTAGGTAATCATGAATCATAGTTGGATAGATGCTTTGCGGACAAGTGATGAATATGAGAGGGGGGTAGACCAATTTTTGGAATTTGCAAAGAACAATGTTCCT